TCCTCCCATTCTTTCATCCAATATAATCTCATTCACTTACTATTTAACATTTATCATTAATAAAATCTATTTTCCTTTTTAAGAACGCTGGCTATGGTGTTCACAGAGAAGTTTTGAATATTTATCATCCGGCCCTGAAACAGACAAATACATATTTTTAAACGTAAATGCACATATTTAGTTTATTTGTCATTTGTAATGGTTTCTATGTTTTATCAAAAAGACATGCCATCATTTAATGAAATGGCAGTCGAAGGACATAATTATTTGAAACCTGGTAAAAATTACAACTTTAAGCAATGTTGGTTTAATTATGTGAATTTTCAATATTCATAATTGTGGAAAAACAGAGATCTTAAATATACCATGGTTTGTTCAACGTTTTTTTCTTGATATATAACTGTTAATTTTTTTAATGATATGAGACTACGTCCGAAAACATTTAATGAGACATAGGACCCACTCTTCTTTAATCTGTTCACCGCTAATGATGGATTTAAAAAAAGGAGTTGTACCCATAAAAGTATTCTGACCTGCTGTAGAAAGTTAAGAACCCCCCCCAGAAAGTGTATTAGTTTCCTCATATTCCCCTGGTGTCCTGGAGCCCTGAACACATCTCTCTTAAACGGTCCTTCCTTGTTCAGTTTCAGCAGGATCAACTAATAAATAGATGTGTGATTAGAAATAACAAGGGGAAACCACCATTTCATATTTTGGAAATCCGCCACTGAAACGGAAAAATCGGCGAAATCCTCAATTTTACAATGCATTAAAGGTAATATTTTAATGTTAAAACTAGTACAAAAAAAGGCGCGTTAGATCCTAGTAACCTAGTTATAATAAAATCAGGATCAAATATTGTAAAATTAAACAGACAATGCTTAATTTAAAAAATATGCCTTTTCCATGAAAAATCCTTTTGTACAACATTTAAAAAATGTTTAACACATACATAGTACACACAGTACACAATTAAGTATTCTAAAACTAAAACTAAAAATCAATTCGAACTAACTAATGCAATTAGTATCAAAAATAAATGTTATAATTTTTGCTAGTCTTTTCGTTTCAGCGGAATATATGTACAATCTCAGGTTTTCTTGTAACAGTAAACAATTATTGATTTTGAAAAATTATAAACTGTCCTTATCTTAAACTTTATTTATTCAAGACAAAAATAAACAAGCAAACTTAAAAATGCTTTTTCTGTAAAGCTTTCCCATATTCACATTAACATATTCATAGTTAAATTGATGCTAAAATTGAATTCAGTAATATATATTTTAAATTATTGGCAACTGTGCCCCCCCCCCCTATTTTTANTTCCAAATGTGAATATATATAATATATATAAACGATATAAACCATTTACCAGCAACAGCCAGACTTTGATACACCTTAAAAAATAAAAATAAAAATTCGAAGAAAAAATATAAAAAATAAAATGACAATTTTTTAAAATTTAAAAAATATAAGAAATAAAAATCATTCTTTGTTTAGCATATATCAAAGATGTATTAGAAAAGAAAGAATCTGAAACAAAAAGAACTCACCAGGAGTGGTCCAGGGATACCCTTCTTACAGACCATACTCAGCTCACCACCAAACTTTACTCTAGAGCAAAAAATATTTACAAAAAAATACTTTAGAGTTTATACTCCAGGGATGCATATATTTAAGAATTTAATGAAATAAAAATTAGCAAGGTTTTTTATGAAAAAAAATGATGATCCCAGGGGTTAATCTTGAATAATAAAAACTTACTTCTCTAGTCTTCTAGGGAACTGACGAGCTCCACCCTCCCCTGTACATGCTGTTACAACAGTACCAACATTACTTAACAGAAACAAAGTTATAATATTAAAATTGTACAGTTAAATTGTACAATGTGTGTACAGTGTAAAGTGAACAATGAACAATAGTAAGTGTAATTGAGTATACAGTGTAAAGTGTAAAGTGTTCAGTTAAAAGCGTAGAGGGTTTATTGTACACATTGTTTTAGATTTTATTATAACTTTTGGTGTTCAGTAATTACGCATATTTGTCAAAAATAATTTGGTGAAAAATATACAGTATAATAAACATATTACACACTACACTGATTACAATGAGCAATTTTTGGAATCTAGAGGACTAAACAATTTTCAGTCATGCATTTCATATTTTAGATCTGTGCTCTGCTGGTGTAAATTTTAAAACTTACTTGATGCTGTAGTTAACGTCCATCATTATATTCCGTAAGGTGGACATTCTCCCTTAAACAATATTATATTTTGAAAATAGATCAAATAACTAAAAGTGAAAGCAAAAAGCATATTATTTTAAATAACAGGAAAAAGACAAGATGTAAAAAATTTCTTATTTGTACTAATTGCGTGTTTAGGTACAAGTTCCAATAAAAAATTAATTGGAAAAGAAGAAAATTGTCTTTATTTTTTTAATACTTTGTCTTAAATCATGTTCGTGTTTTCGTGAATTTACATTACTAAGACAAAAATTCACAAATCTGCGAATACTTTTCTAAGAAGGGATTTTTTTTTTACAATACCCATTTTTAACTTTTTTTGTGACAACCATTTCTTATTTTTTTGTGACAATTTCTCTAAAAAAAATCTTTTTTGACCCAAAACTTGTAAGAAGTAGAGTTTGCTTTTACTTTTATTCCTTAATCAAGCGAGAAAATAAATGTCTTTTAGAGTCGGGTTAATAAAACTTAAACTCGCATTTAGCAATAATCATGTATTTTAGTTCCATAACCTAACAATTAAAAGAAGTTCAAAAAAACGTTCCTTTCGATTTAAATAAATTTACCTGGTAAATGAACACAACTCTAAATCTGATCTACTCAAACCAACAATTTTATAACAGAAAATAATTGTAATATTTTACAAAATAATTTATAAAATTTTTGAACAATCTAATGAAAGGATAAAAGATAAATCTGCGAAGAATATATGTGATGAAAAATTGAGCTGAGAGCATTTGTGAGAAAAAAATAAGTTGAAGATTTTTGGGCCACTTACAGATATCCCCTTATTAAATCTGATATTTCGAATCAAATCAAATTAAATCAAATCAAATCAAATATTTATTATATTCCAGGAAGATGACAAATCAAATTAGAAAATATAATCATCACAATAATAATACATCCCCGTTAGGGAAAAGGATCTGGTTGGCCAGTTTTCATGAAAACAGCTTAGAGACACAAGGGGGGGTTTGCAAGAAAAAATATAATTTTTAATACTGCATGAAAAATTAATATTTATATTTGCATGTGTGAAACAGAAAAATTGTAAATTAGAGAAAACCCGATTGGTTTCTAATAACAAATATGGAAAGAAAAAGATAATAAATTGACATGATGTTTCTGAAATTGTTTAGTTTCCTGTATATAATCTTTATATCCCTGCATACCACCTTCACAGGGAAACCAAACAGATTTAAATCAACCAATTCAACTACTAAGCCTCCAGACAACGTAGTCCTATAATAAACTACATTTTTCCGCCATTTTCCTGAAAAAAATTATCGTTGAAATTAAATTTAACTTCAATAAAATGAATAATATTAATATAACAATAATATTAATAACTAGGCTTTAAGCTATTTCAACTTTTAATTGTGGCATCTTCTCTTTGTTCAGTATCAAACAAAAACAAAAAAAATTGCGGATTTCAAAACATTTTTACGCGCATTTTCAAAATTTTACAAAAATAAAAAACTTTTTAACACAAATGTTTGAAATCTTAATCATTCATAAACCTTCCCTAGGGTAACGTGAGGTCCCACACAAAATTTAGGCCTGATAAATTCAGCCGTGTTGACGTTTATTGGATACAAACAAACAGACAGAAAAGCTAAAGGGGATGGTGGAGTTGGCACATTTGATGTAGGGGGGGGGGGGCCTTGCCTTCATTTTTGGTTCAAATCTTCCAATTTTTTGG